AAAATTCGTCACAGGATATGAGCCCATTCAATTCAAGCACCTAGCATTGCATGCACTCTTGCTACTTAAGAACTGGAATAATTCCTCTGTGCCTTTGTACCGTGCTTGTTTTTATGTCTTACACTGGTTCCATTGTGTTTTGGATGTTTCTGTTCTCAGTCCAGCTGTAACCTAGCACACCATCCACCCTTCCCTGCACTGCTCCTTAGTCATGCTCATTTCCCCTTGACTGTTCTGTATTTCTTGCTTGGATCTTACTTGGTTTGGGGGTTGGGGTAAGAGGGTGGCACGCCTACATCTGTGTGTGTCTTCTAATAGCCCCCACACAGCCTGGAGAGATTTAACTCTTCTAGCTACCCTTTTGCACTGCCTTTAACTAAGCTTCCCTCTTTTTTTTTTTTTTTTTGTGTCTTCCTGGAAATCAGCCTAGTTTCCAGATGATCCAAGTCAATATCCTCACATAAGATTTGTTCTGCAATGTTAATTCTCACACTTCTGATGATTTTGTAGAAGCAGTGTGCCTTGGAGAAGATTTCTTTCTGTGCTCCTCCCCTCATCACTCTCACTCCCCAGATGACCAGTGAAAACTTCAGCTTTTTTTTTTTTTTTTTTTAATTTGAAGATACAGATTTCCAGTACCCCAGTCGCCAATGGATGTATTACGCTAAACAAAGCGCTGGCATCTGTATCTGCAGGCTTCCTTATGTTTTAATTTCCTGAGTTTTCATTTCCTCAATTCCCTTAATTTTCATGTAAAAAACTCTTTTTAGTACTCGCATGATTTTAAGCACTTGTTCCTTGCTTTCATTAAGATGTAAACAAAGCCTGGGCTTCTATTCAATTCCATTACTCCTGAGCATCCCTATTTTGTCATGTGCACAAACCCTTCCTCCCTTCTCTATTTTCTGTCATACCTTGACACTGCCCCTCCATACCACATGTGGACTTGCACGGGTGCAGGAAGCGTTTCCCAGCACTGTGCTGCTGAATCCCTGTGCTACAGCACCCAGCCCAACAGCTTAAATTTTGTTTCCAGCCTCTCTCCATCACACCATTGGATGACAGTAGGACCCACATATCTGTGGCCACCTGTCCTCCCCCGTGTCAGAGCCATAAGCTTTGCCACCTTTCTCCTGGAAGGCAAATCACAGCATCCTCCCTGAAGTCACCAAATCAACCATCCATGTGCTCGAAATTTGACTCTCATATGGTCTTCTCATAAGGAAAATGGTGAGAAACAACCTGTCCACAGTAATGGTGGGTAATCTGGGTAAAAGAGCTTCAATTAAAAAAATTGAGAAAATAGTTAAGGAATCATGGCGTTATAGAAATGGAAAAATTCTATAGCATCAGAGAAGCAACCTGCAGTAAAGGTAACAACCTTGCTTTAAACCATTCTCACTTCCCAACATTCATCTAACCAGGGAAAGGGGAGAGAATCAAGTGTTGTAACAAGGGAATTCTGATGTGTTATTGGGTAGGAGAAGGAAAGCTGCTCCAGAAGAAGTGGGACTCCAGAGTTGCTCAGAAACCCAGGTCCTGCTCCAGTGTGGAGGTGTGGGATTATCCCTAAAACTTGGACATAACTTCAAATTCCAAATAATAATGTTATGCCATAATAGACTAAGGCATCTTAGTTTAAGTTTTCTACTCTACCAAACAATTCCTATGATGAAAGCTACATCCAATCACTTTTTGAATGTAGAGTGTAAAACAGACATATCCTCAAACTAGGAATGTGCAGAGGCACCACAAAATCATTATCTCTCAGAGTGAAAATTCGCCCTCTCCCCTTCACAGATGAAAGATAAAATATTGCATTTTATTCAGGTATCATTAAAGCAACTTAAGTTTGCTAGTTTGATTGCATTTGCTTTTGCAACTCAGTTCTTGATTTTCCCCTCCTCTGTTAGCCATCTAAACCTCCTCCAAAGCTTTTACATCTTTACTGTCAGCCAGTAACAAATGATGTGAGAGAAAGAAAAAAGGAAAATTTTATCCTATGAAAGCTCATAGGATAAAGCAGCAGTGCTGATGATAAACTGAATGTTTGGACTCATCCTGCTGCAATTCTCAAGGGGAGAATGTTAGGAGGATCTCTCGTGGAGCTCCAGGAGCAGCAGCAGGGCCTTCTCCGTTCTCCTCCAAAGCAGAGCTCCCATTTGCCTCTGGCAGTGACAAATCTCTGCTTACCCAACCCCAGGATCCAGAGCCACAACAACACAGCTGGAAAGGAATTTGTCACCGTGCAAACAATTTCTGGCAGGAGGGCTCCACAGGGAGGAATAGAATCCTCTATACTTCCAGGTGAGCACATTGCTCCACCTTTCTCAAACAGAGCACTCTGAGCCTCCTATTTGGTCTTTTTTCTTTTCAGACACAGCAGCCAAAGTTTCAGGTGAAGTGACAAACCAGTCCTGTCTTTGCTGCCTAGTGGATTAACAGAGTTCATGCACAGCTCCTAGTGAGGAGGGAATTTCACTGGATGCATCCCTCAGAGGACAAACTGTAATGTTGTCCTTAGTTGCTGCCAATTACTGAAACCTTTACTGAAAATCATTGGCCAGTTTCTTCTAAACATTAGAACTGCTCTGTGCCTTTTCAAACCTAAGTGCCATCAGCTGTCGGGGACAGCAGCTCTGCAAATGCTTCAGCTGGCAGAGAAATTCATAACAACTGCTACAAGCCACTCAAAATAATCCTTACAGGAAAAACAAATCTCTTAGAGGAAGCATTCTGCTAATTGTAAGGTAATCAGCCTCACAAGGCTGCACATCTGCACTTATATTTCCACAGTTCTTCACTTAAAAATAATTAGTAAAGTTGTATGAATGCCCTCTGAGTCCCAAGTAGTGTTCCAGTCACTGCGCTGATAAGAGCAGTAGGCAGCAATAGAGCCCCAGCAAAACACAAACACGTCCTGGGGTTAGATCTGGCATAAATGGCAAGGAAAAATTTTTCTTCTCCATGAGCTGTTCATATAGATGTCCAGGAAGCAGCATCATCTGGTCAACTGAGTGACAGCATCCACAGCACTGCTTAGGAGCAAAGCTGACACTGCTGCCTACACCTGTGCACACTTCATCCCATGTGACTCTGCTCCAGCACTGCTAAGAAGCTCACAGCCTTCTTGGCCTTCGGCATGTTTGCTAGTTTCTCACTAGCAGGCTCACAGGATGGGATGGCAACTAGTATGATGACAGCTCCATACACTGGCTCAGCTGGGATGCATTAATCCCACTGGTCTCTACTTTCTCCCCATTTTCCTTCTCTCTTTTATCACTGTCCGGGACCCAGACCCAGATCCCAGAAGGAATGCAGTCACTTTTTCTTCACCAGCCACAAAGTGAATTAAATAAGCCCTACTGCAAATGCCAAGTAAGATGAGTTCTTTTACTGAGAGACTGGAGTCATCACAGCTTTCTTCATTTAAAACTGTGATATTCAAATTCCAATGCTGTGATGCAGACATCATCACCTCCCAGCAGTACCCACCATCACAGAACAAAACATTGGTCTGATTCGATAAAGCCAACACTTTCTCACGGTGTTCTATCCTAAGGCTCCTAAAACTTTGGGGATTTACCTTCTGTTTTACTGTCTAAATGACAGCTTCATGCACCAAAAAAGATCAGCTGAGAAGAGCTACCTTCTGTCTCTTCCTTCTTTTAACAGAAAGAGCTTACAGTTGCGTGCAAAGAAGAGGAGAACAGCAAAATACTGGTAACAACATGGGGAGGTAAGAAGGGTAGGGCTGAGGACAGTGCACTTTTTGTCTTCTCAGAAAAGGAAGACAGGATTGTGCTACAACGCAGGGGGCTGACTGACTGCTTAGTGGCTTCTTGACTACCAAATGTAAAAGAAGAAGTGGTCAAATGTCATACTCTGCTGGAGCCAATGTGAATACAGGATGTCAGCATGGAAAAAGTCACACTAGGGGCTGAATAACTGACTGCTCAGAATGTCCTGTAATGCTCACACCGATGGTGTCACGTCTTATGAGCCTGTGTGTAGCCATTTTTCCTCATCTCACTGTTAAATTTCCTGAAAGTTTTAGTAATATCTGCATGTGTTCTGAGCAGAAAAGAACAGTACGAGGCTGAATATCTTTCTAAACTCTTTATTTCTCAACTCCCCACCTCCACCTCCTGCAAATTTGGAAGCAGATCTCTCAGTGATTTCAGTGATTTGCTTTCCTTCTTGCTGTTCAGAGACTGTCAAGAACCAGAAAAACAGACAGCTTTCAGAGGCAACCTACAATAAGGAATGTCTTTAATCCTACTTAAAAACAAAAATCTATCAAAAATGAGTCTACTGGGATTGATTTCATCTCTCTAAAACTTCACATTCCAAGTTTCCCAAGCTGGGCTCTGAGTGGCAGCAGAAAAAGTGGCTTACTGTTTGGAAAGTACGTCAGAAGCATACTTTTGAGATACAAGGACAAACGTACATAGCTGTACACAGAACACCTACACAGTAAGGTATGTGGTTTAGCTGTTTCCTGCAGCTAGACACAACTTCTGGTTTGGATCCTCAGGGGAAATAAATTACTTAAATTCCTAATTACTCACTTAAAGTAGTTTGTATCTAGACATCTGACACATACTTACTAACTGATTTGAAAATGACCAGTGGAGTTTATCTACCCTCTATTCCTCTGAAAACAGGAGACAGATTCTTAGTTTATCTTAACTATTCCTCTTCATTAATATAACATCAATACAAGCTCTCCTTGCACTTATCTGAAAGTCCAAAAAGTTTACCTAGAACAGCTTCTACTCCAGTGAGAACCTGACAGGGAAATTTAGTTTGAAGTTGTGAATTTTTGGACATGACACTTCGGTTGAGTCCTTGGACTGCCTCATTGTTTTGCTTTGCTTCACTTCTAATAACCTCGCCAAAAACCTGTTCAGTCACTATTCTAGGAGTCACAACTTAGTATAACAAATGATGGAAAAGTAATTTGCTTTAAGAATGAATAGGTGAAAAATGAAACTCACCTGTGAGCAGAGTTTATGCAAAGATGCTTTTCCTGCAGTGTGAAGAGCACAAATGTTCCTTTCTCCCTTCTCCCAGCTTCTGCTAAGGCTGTTGGAGGCTGTCCTCCTCCCAGCTGGGAGCACAGCTGTCAGTGAAACACTGTCGGGAGGGAGGAGGAGATTATGCTTCATCTCCTCTGCTCTTTATGGTACAACTGTGAAGAAGTCGAATCAGCCCAGCCCAGCCCTCTCCTCCCTCACCCACTCATTCATAAATAAAAGAGATGACAGTGCCAAAGGCAGACGCTAAATGCAGAGATGACAACACATGCAGAGCAGCGCTCACACCCCTACCTACTGTCACAGGCACAGCACTACCATCGCAGCAGCTGGTGCAAAGCCCAGAGGCTGCCGAACACACACAGATGTTGCCTTGTGCAGACTGTTTACTATCGCAAAGTACACAGAGCATTACAAAGTACACTGAGCCTCAGTGCTGTTATTAGTGTTATTTACAGTAAGTTCCTCGATCTGTCCAGCCCTTTATGATGTCCAAATTCAGAGCTGATCTGTGCATGAGGAGCTGCAGCTTTGAACGTGCAAGAGCAGGGGCTGGGAGGTGCTTCTCCTTCCTCCTTCACACAGAGAGGAGGACTGAGGCATAAACAAATTAAGGCATGTCCAAGGGTGTTCAAGAAGATCACAGCACATCCAGGAGCCAACCTGCTGCTAACTCACACTACCACTCTTGTTTCTGCACCAGAGAAAGCTGCACCACAGAACGTATATTAACCTGTTCATCATTCAACTTGAAATGCACTGTTTTAATAGAAATAGAGATGAATTAAAACACTGAATCTGGAAACAAAAGCTTCAGGTTGGGAGCTGACACAGTACTCACCTGGCGCTGTGTGCTGCTGGAGGGAAATCAGTGGCTCAGAGCAGTGCCCCTCTGCTCACTATGTGGGGTGACAGCGCCCTGCAGGGAGCCAGGGACTGCAGCCCTGGAAAGAGGAGCCTTGTGCTGGGTCCTCCAAATGTTCTCTATTTCCATGCTGGTGGAATACACAGAGGAATATAAGGAATATAAATGTTTTTTTTAAAAAAAAGGAAAAAACAGAGAGAGGATACAATGACATTTACACAGCTTGGAAATGCTCCAGAAGTACCCGTGGCTAACGTCAGAACCGGCATCAAAAATAACTCCTCGCTGCAAACACGCACAGGGCTCTTCAAGGTACGAAAGACTACCAGATGGCAGAAGGCTTCCTCTGCCAAGGCCTCCGACAGCTAAAATCATCTGCAGGGTTAAGGGACCTCTCTGAGTTTGTGAGCAAAAACCTAATATGAAATACTTGAGCGTGGCCTAAAAAGGCCGCAAATAGCACAGAGCTGCCCTTGGCAAGGCTCACTGTGCAGCTCAGAGATAGGGAGAGATGCAGACAGCAAACCTGGCTGAATGGGAGAGGCACAGGGCCTGGGAACACAGCCAGGGGCTGCAGAATTGAAGGATATGAAGGCTTGCTGTCAAACCTAGCAGCACTGCCCAACGCTCTTCCTGACTTGCATTAGGCCTTAAGAAAATCACATGGACTGGGATCTTTCAGGAAGCAAAGTAAAAGTCTCTGTCGGCAGTAAACTACCTGGGCTGCAGTTCTCAGTCGTGCTGAACTGTGAACAAGCTGAACTATGTGTTAGATGTTGAATGCAAGCTCTCAGAATACCCTGAAAGCTGAGCCTTGGCCATCAGGTGCAATACGTGCCCATGTGAGCGTACTGAAAAGGCAACACTGGAGAGGTTCAGATGGTAAATCAGTCCTTGCAAGCAGAGCAGAAACAGGCACTTCCACCAACCTCTTTTTCAAAAAATTACAGAGCAAAAGAAACTTCAGGGAAATCCTAGTTTCATCCAGTCACTACATCCTGCTTTTCTCAGCATGCAGATGCTGTAGGACAGATTGTTGAAGTAAAGGTCATCCCCTTCCCCTGACTTCCAGGGCAGCAGAAGTGTTGCAGGACATGGCCTTATCACACACAGCACTGGCACTTGGCACATCTATACAAAACTCTAAAAGTGAAGAGAAATGACTCTCTGTAGCTTTTTATCCCTATAAATTATACAGCAGCTATTAGAGCTGAGAAATGGCAATTATTCGGCTCTAGTGGCAATTTTTGTTTTTCACTTGCTTTGGTCAAATCATTTTAATGTTTGTAATGATTAAACTCCTGGCTTCCATACATGTCACAGTCAGAACCAGCATGCCTCAAAAGGAATGAACCCGCACGGCTCTGCAGATTTCATAGATGGCATAGAAATGTAGCAGGAAGGTCACAGGGACTTCCTCCTTCCTCTGAGGCCCAGTAAAGTGAACTAGGGCTGAAGGCATGTCCTGTGAGGGGGAGACTGAGGGCATGGAGCTGTGCAGTCTGGAGCAGAGCAGGCTGAGAGGTGGCTTCACTGCACCCTACAGCTCCTGAGGAGGGGAAGCAAAGGGAGGTACTGGGCTCTGCGCCTGGAACCAATAGCAGGATGGGAACAGCTCAAAGCTGCTGAAACAAGGACCTGCCACTCTTCCCTCTGCTGTCCTGGTACTATCTGGAGCTCACGCAGGCCTGTATCTGAGCTGCTAAGGGGCAGCTGTACCACAAAGCCTGACATGTCAGCCGCCTGTGCAAGTGGGATCACTGCTGCATATTTAATTGCAGCCCACACATCCTGCTTTCCACATCCTCCTCCTGCTCTCTTGTTTCTTTTCTTGTCCCAGTCATTGCTTCATCACACATTATTTTTAATTTCTTCCACAGGTCTCAGTTTTCACTTGGACAGTTCCCACAGGGTGGATGCAGTCCTCAGGCTCACGTGAACTCCAGCTGCTTAGGGAATACATGCGGAACAGTGTCCTAGAGCTGATTCCCAGAATGTGCCAACATGGTGATCTCAGCTCCAAGAGTTCCCAGCGGAAAATGCCGTAGCTTAACATACACCTCACAAACACCAAACAAGCTCCATCATCCAGGCCCCATTTCTACCTCCAAGAGGGACTGAAGACTGAGGTGACATGAATCTCCCACATCCACAGGCATCCAGAGATCTGCATGTTCTGGTTCACAGTGCTGAACAATGAAAAGACAAAGAGAATTTCCTGCATTTCCAGTTCTATGTAAGGGCTATCAGAATGGATACAAATTTTTGCCGAAATCTAGGAGGCAGAGGCAGTGAAATTGTTTGCAGTCCTCACAGCTGCTCCAGAGTCCAAGCCGGAACACCTGTTCTTGGTATCTGTAGGGAGGCTGAATTTTTTTTACCTGGATCTTGTGCCACTGAAGACACGTTGGCTTTGACGGGTGACCTTGCAATTCCTGCTTTTGTGAAGGACCCATGGCTGATTGTGGACGCACTGGAGTAACCAGCTCATCTCACCTGGAATGTATGTGCGAACTTTCATTCAGATATATAAAAGGAGGATGGTAACACAAAGAGTTCTTCAAGATAGATAGCTATGTCAATGTGACCTCTTATGCTGCTCTTTCTTTTCCTATTAGCATGGATCTGAGATTTTTAGATCGAGGAGAATGTGGTCATAAGGTGGTCCATCTGCCATTGCCTCAACACAGTGGGGAGGCAAGGCGTAAATGCTCCTGAACCAATATTCCAAGGCAGAAAAAACCTGGTCTTCAGTAACTGCAGTAGGCAATTAAAGTATGAACAGTGCTCCAGGTAATGGCTTCTTCCTCTCCGCTAAACATTGCTAGAAAGAGATGACACTAAAACTAGGCTAGAGTCTCTGAACTGGCTTAATTTTTGCTTCTCTTCTCACATTCCATTTTAGCTTGTTAGCATTCTTTTTTGAGATAAACACTGCCCGTTAAAGTCTAATCGGCTAAATCTGCCTAACACAGGAAGGAATGTTTCTCTTGATTTTAGTTGCAAATCTTCAAGATGGTGAAATTTGATCCTAATAAAGTCCTGTGAGTGCCTATTATCATTTTTTCCTGATTATATAACAAGAGAACAAACACGTGTTCACTGAAGCTCCTGGTACAGGACAGGGTGGGAGATCAGGATCTCCTGAGTTGGGCTCAGCTAACACTGATACGTCTGGTTAAGTAAACAAGGAAATGGATCCTGGCTCATGGGAGCTACATGTGGATAACAATTCCAGAAGCCAAAATCAGCAACAAAATTCTAAAACAATGAAAATTATGTGGAAAAGTAAATTGTTAAAAATACCTAAGAGTGAACAGAGACAATACTGCCTCAATATGCAAAAAATATGGTCCTTTTAAAATGCTTCTATCAACTCATTAACAGTTTTAAGAGCTAACAAATTCTCAAAGAATTTTAATCATCAAATATATCTGCCATTCCTAAAATGTCTGCTCAACTTGTTCAAAAACCGTTCCAAGATCTTACATAAAAACCCTGCTACAGATAGTAGAATTCTACATTCATCTTGATGAATATATTTTTGAAATACAGCTCAGTGACTATGAACAAGTAAACTTTGAAATTCAAAAACAGGAATTGAGAAGAACTCGGCTCCAGATTTTGTGCAAATGAGCATCTTGTGCACCACAAATTCCCACAGTTGTTTGTAGCAGAGAGTATATTTCCTGCCTATGACTTGGCTATCACTTGTCATGAACACATGGTGAAAAAGAACAATAAAAGTGAGCTAAAGAAGGATGTGGGGAGCAGCCACTATGAGAAGGCTGCCTGCACTATGTCAGGGAAGAAAAGCCCCTGAAATTAATGGCACTGCAAGAATAGTTGGGGGGAAAAAAAAGCATGAAGCAGTAGAAAGAAGGGAATATTTGAATCAACAGTTGGACAGAGAAATAGCTAAGCATCAAAAAGCACGGAGAACAGAAAAAGAGGTGGGATCAGGAATAAATATTGACCTCAAGGCTTGAGAATGTTACTGAATAAGAAAGCCTGGCAAGGGTGGAAAAGAACAGCAAGAGAAGATGGCAAAAAGTGCTACTTTCTCCTCACTGATAGACCATAGAATCATAGCATCATAGAATGGCTTTTGTTGGAAGGGACCTTAAGGATCATCTGGTTCTGATCACTCTGCTGTGGGCTGGTTACCTCTACCAGATCAGGCTGCCCTGGGCCCCATCCAACCTGGCCTTGAATGCCTCCAGGAATGGGGCATCCACAGCTTCTATGGGCAGCCTGCGCCATTGCCTCACTGCCCTCTTGAATAAAAAGTTTCTTCCTAACATCTAACCTAAATTTTCACCGTTACAGTTTAAAGCCCCCTTGTCCTATCCTATTAGGCTGCTTAAAAAGTTGGTCCCCCTCCTGCTTGTAAGTACTCCTCAAGGCTGCAGTGAGGTCTCCCTGGAGCCTTCTCTTCTCCAGGCTGACCAAGGCCATCTCCCTCAGCTAGTCTTTGCAGGCAAAGTGCTCCAGCCTTCTGGTAATCTTCATGCCCTCCTCCAACCTGCTCCAACAACTCCACATCCTTCTTGTACTGGGAGTCCCTGGCCTGGACAGAGAACTCCAGGTGGGGCCTCATGAGAGCAGAGCAGAGGGGGACAATCTCCTCCCTCCCTCTTTTTGCTGCCACCCCTCTGTTAATGAAGCCCAGGATTCTGTTGGCCTTCTGGGCTGCGAGCGCACACAATACATTTAGCTATCACAGCAGGCATAGAAAGAAGAAAACTGGGACTAGAGCTGTAAGAAAACAGGGTACAAGAAGGTGAATTAAGGAGTAGGAAAGAGTTAATGATAATGATGACATGAAGAGTAGAAAAGTCTATCCATACTGGAGAGA